AAAGGGTACACTGGAAGAAATTGGATGAAGATCTCGGAGACGATTTCGTTGGACAGCGTCAACACCGGGTACGCATATGAATTGAGTCGTTCCTGTGCGCGCAATTTCTCGGCTTCTAAGACTTGGATGGAGTCTTTGAGAGCCAAGATCTGGGATTCGACTTCTGCGATGTATGCGCGGTCGGCGGCGCGGGAGGATGGAGTAGACATTTTCTGGATCTACATAACATATACCATATCAGCGCTCCATCCGCCACGGCGTAATATTCATTGGACAACTCACTTGAAATGCTTCAACTCGAGTCGCGTTGAGTTCGCGCGCGAAGTGCGCACGGTGCAATGTGGAAAAGTCGATTCAAAGTCGATTCAAGAAGAGCACAAGAAGAGCAAATCGACGGCCATCAAAATGCCTATGTAGCCCCTGATGGCCGCCGGCTCATTTCCACCTCGGACGCTCAGTACTAAGGCTCTCCAAGATAGATGCTGATAACTAAAGCCTTCCTGTGAGGCATTCTCTGGCTCTGAGGCGTTGGGTTATGCTCATTTCTGGCCTGTAATAATGCTCATTCAATTTTACTGAACTTCATGCACCAAAGACTGTCTGGGCTTCATAAATCACAGATGGACGGCTCGCCATTGACACAATATACACCCACGGCCAAACTCCCGGTGCTGGACACCACACTGGCCGTCACCCTAGTTGCACCCTAGTTGGCATTCGTATTGTCGATTCGCTGGACTGATCGTTCCCCATGACGAAACAAAAACTCTCGACTGCATTAATACTGTCTTTCTCGTCAATCTAGCAGGTCGAAGAAGGGAATGCGAATGAAAACTCAAATCAGGAAAGTCCTCTGAACATAGGACTGCGATTTCAAGGTCGCAAGCTTGCGACAGAGCTCAATAATAATAGCGACGATTGCAATGAGCGGCAACCGTGTGCTAATGGTCGAGCTGTACGCAAGATTGCTCCCTTGAGATCAAGTGTGAGAATAGCAATTTCTATTGAGCAAGAGGTGGCCGAATACCGTTCCGCAACAATTTTACATTGAAAAAGTGAGAGACAAAAGGGAATGCAGCCGAGTGTGTCTACAACACATTGTATTTTCTGCGAGCCAATTTTCTAGCACGTCCAGGTGAGTAGGATGAAAAATTAGAGATTCGCTAAACGCACTCGGAGTATGTATCATAATTAATCAGAGCCGTGTCGAATGAAAGCTCTGGAATGGACGAGGAGAATGCGTCGCGATACACGGCCTCGGAGCGAACTTGCCCAGTGATGCAGAGCCCTTGTAGACGACACCCAGATTTCGAAATGAATAGACGAAGCGTATTGATGGGGCTCGGCTCAAGACATGCTTCGGGAACTTCGAGCGTGCGGAGTGAAGGGGTGATCATAGTTTCGAGGTAATGTCTCACTGTGTCGTCCAAATCCCACATCTGCGCCAAAACCAAGGATTCCAAAGACCGAAGGCGAACATCGGATGGCGGGATTTCTCCGGGCCGAAGCATCAAATGGCAATGAACGAGGTTGACGGCGAGCTGCAGAATTGCTGTATTTTCAATTGGAGTGTGTATCAACGTCAGCGACGTCAACTGAGACCAAGGGAAAAGATCAGTGGGGCGAGTAATGTCCCACAGGGTGACTGAGCGCAGCCGAGGAAACTCGCAAAAACGTCTTGCAGGGGGTTCAGGGCGAGGAGCCTCGACACGGATCTCGAATTGGCGGAGTAATGACATTGGGCCTTGGATGGCGAGGAGTTCAAGTTCACCGTCGACTGCCAATGTGACATATTCCCACCGCGCGCGATGAAGAGCGATCAGCTCAAGGCATGATTCATCCACAGTGTTCCAGATGTCCTCCATGTCGATGGAAAGCGGTAGGCAGCCAGACCTGCCTAGCCAAACTTCGATTATAGAATGTAGTACACCGTTATCAGTGGAGTAGACTTCCGGCAATGAGATTGCTCTCCAGAGCGTGGGCGTGGACAGGGCAACTTGTCTCCATCTGCGGCAGACATGCGACAGAGACGTCGGTGATAGAGGTCCCGACATGGGGGGTGGGGAAGGGTAAACCGGAAGAAACTGGACGAAGATCTCGGAGACGATTTCGTTGGGCAGCGTTAACACCGGGTACGCATATGAATTGAGTCGTTCCTGTGCGCGCAATTTCTTGCCTTCTAAGACCTGAATAGATTCCTTGAGGGAAGAGATCTGGGAGTCGATCTCTGCGATGTAGGCGCGGTCGGCGGCGCGGGAGGATGTAGTGGACATGTTGTGTATCTAGTAACATGCCGCGTCAGAGCTCCATCCGTGTAATGGACCATTGGACGACTTGCTTGAAATGTTTCAACTCGAATCGCGTCGGATTTGCGCGCGATGGTGCAACGCCTGGGTGGCAAGCGAATTGGCGGGCATCAAACTCGAGCCTATGTTTTGATGGCCGGCGGTCCCCAAACACTCTTCCAGTTCCACCCCCTCGCCAGCATCATCGTTCGGAGGCCACCTTTTTTTTTCGCCGCCCTCCAAGATCGTGATACTGATATTTCTGGGTTATGCATTCAATTTCGCCGAACTTCCTGCGGCAACTCCGACTCTCAGCTTCAAATTCACGGATGGATGGCTCGCCATGGCAAAAATATGGGATAATATGCACCAAAGGAGACCAAATTCCAAAATTCCCGGTGCCAGATACCACACCAGCTGTCGCATTTGCCGATTCGTTGCGGCGTCTCGGACTGCTTCGAGCCTTCGTCCAAAACAACTGAAAGACGACGTGACGAAAACACCACAGCTTTGCGAGCACTGAGCACTCGGATACCGAGCGGTGCATAGTATACATCGAACTCCAACAGTCTCGTTGGACAAATGGTACAAGGTTGACGATCAGCCGTACGGATTCAGTGCAGCAAAATGAATGCATGTAAGCTGCTCATTGCTCTGCAGGGTGTCTGTGGGCCGCATATACAGTCACGGCAAAAATGTAGTCCCCAACCAAATAAGGAAATTCCCATCTATCCTGCTCCTTTTGCATGCTTTTCGGCTCAGACACTGGATATGTAATTGAAAAAATAGTCTAAATGATTCTTAGTAGTCAGTACTCTGTCTGGAAGAGATATGAACAAAATCTGAACAACGGATTTCCTCTGGAGCCTGGTCATTTCCACTCATTGAATTCACTGTAAACCGGCTTTCTTTTGGGGGAGCAATATTATTAAAAACAGGATACCTATACTTATAACATTTAAAATACATTTTCCAAGCTGAATACCACCTATCTGAGCTGAAAAGCAGGCAAAAGGAGCAGGATTGATGGGAATTTCCTTATTTGGGTGGGGACTACATTTTTGCCGTGACTGTAGCTGCGCCGAGGCTCTCCAAGATAAATGCTAATAACGAAGTCCTGGACCCTCGATTTGAGGCGTCGGGTATGCCCATCTCTGCGTTCAACTTCAATTTTACTCTTTTCTACGTATACTCGTCCAACTTCAGCTGGCTGCGATAGATCTGGGCCAACCCGACTCTGGGCTTCACGGATGGAAGGCTCGCCGCAATATGCTCAAAGGCCAAAACCCCCGGTGCCACAGACCACACCAGCTGTCACGCGAGTTCGCGTCCGTATCGTCGATTCGCTGGATCGCATCTAGAACTGATCCAGATTCATTCAAAACAACTGAAAGACGACATGATAAAGACCCTAGAGCTTTTGCATGCGCAGGACATACCCAGTGGCATATTTACCCTCGAATTCCAACAGATTCGTTGGACGAATTGCACACGGCTGTTGGCCAGCCGCACAGACTCACTTAGTACAGCAAAATAAATACATGTAAGCTGCTCATCACTGCGGGGTATCCGTGGGCCGCGTATATAATTGATCTTGATTTATAACTCACTGGCTCGTCCCCTCCAGGGAGAGCGGACCGCTTTCACCGCCTGAACTCCGACCCAACGAACGCGCGTACGCACGGCTAAACTCTCGGCACCGGATCCCCGATACCAGTTGCCACACTCCATCTCAAATATCACTCTTCAGAATCCGCCTGTTTCGTCTTGGTGCTGCTCAGAGCCGACTCGACGCATCGCGTATTCGACGTGCTAGAATCAACCGTGTTGATCTCAGACTTTGAATTCTCGGACAGTAAACATTCAGTGTGCGCTGCGGCCCCGTTCAAGGAATTTGAAGCGAGCCTCTCGCTGCAGTTATCTGAGCCACCTGAGCTGCACTGTAACGAGGTACGAGTTCAGTAAATATTGAGGTCTGGCTGCGAGAGACTAGCTGCACTGATTCTTGTGACTGGGCAACGAACGATTGAATCGGTGCCGAGCTTTTGCGGCAGCCGGGCGTCGTGTCTTTCTCTTTCGCTCGGTGGCTGATATCAACACCTCAGTCCGGTCTCCAGTAACTGCAGGTCCCTGCCTTCTTGCTCTCTTCTTTCAAGCCAGCCTCTCAACACCTCTTACTCCTCCTGACCTCAGCTTCGTATCCCGAGGCCCCTCCCCATCGGGCTCTTGGCGCAGCTGGTAGCGCGTTCGCTTCGCATCAGGGCTCAGTCAGAAATGCATGCGAAAGGTCGTTGGTTCAATTCCTACAGTGTCCATATATTTTTGGATCCCCCGAGCTCGGTACGCGTTGCCTTTGCGCTGGAATCGATGCCATCGATTGGTGATCGGATCCGTGCGCTACTGCGAACTTGTAGCTCTTTCTTTTTTGGCCAGATGAGACTACCTACCTTCGGACGGTCGGACAGTCTATCCTCCAAAACCAGCGCTACACTTGCTGTTCTCGAGGATGTATGTATGCATCGATCTAAAAATGCAACCGTGGGAATCTTTATTAAACCAACTCCCAAGTCCGGCATTTTTCTTCGATTCAGACTCTCAAATTGCATCTACCCAAAAGATCCTTCGTTTTGCTCGAACCGTCGTTCTAGTCTCATTTTCCATCAACATTGTAACTTCTCTGCGCTTGGGTTCTGCCTGGCGCGCTCCGATCATACCGGGCTCTTGGCGCAGCTGGTAGCGCGTTTTTCTTATGTGCATGAAAGGTCGTTGGTTCGATTCCTAGTGTTCATTCGTTTTGCTGGGGGCGTTTCTGACTTTTTGAAGCTCAAATGTCGGGCGACAACTCAACTTGTATTCGGGAGCCTGTCGACAGAAGCACTTTGCCTTTTCATGTGGAAACAAAAATCACGCGTACCGCTACGGCGTAGCGCGCAACCCTTATGTAACTCGGAGTTGGGCGCGCGCGCGAGCATCGTACAAGCATAGCTTCTGATTTAGGAATTTATTCCCCTTGCCGTGTTTTCATACCGCAAGCGGGACCCAAAATCTCGATACAACGTACGGTGAACGAGGTGTTTCGCGCTGCGTAGAATGGTACAAAATTTCGAACATGGGGCTTGAGAACGCAACCGTGCGAAGTGTCCCAGAAAAACGTGGTGGGATGAGATCAAAGCGAGACGATCACGTGGTGGTTGACCTTGTTGCAATGAACGAGAACAACGAACCCCAATTGAAGCAGGACTTTGCTGCTATGGACCCCGCCAGAATGCTCATCAGCCCGCCCCCAGAGGAAGAACTCCAGCGCACGATTGTATTCGGGTCTGCAAGGGTGAGTTGTCGAGAATGCCACCCTGCACGCGGCTTATGCTCTTGCATGCAGACCAACACGAGCGTTGCGCAGCCCAAACGCAAACGAGCAGCCAATACGCCGTCCAAGACGCAGACTACCCCCAACCCCAAGCCCCGCAAGACCCACCGCCGCCGCAGCAGCGCGCTCTCCAACAATGACTCGCCCACCCGCCCAAGCACCAACCCCAACGCAGACTGGGTCCCGCTCGCCGTCCCCGCCGCAGCGTCGTCCACCCGCCACCGCAGCATCACCCCCTACGAGCCCCCCACAGACGTCTTCACGCCCCCGCGCGAGGTCCTCCTCGCCCTCCCCCCCTCCTCCGCCCGCCCCACCAAGCCCGCGCCCGCACCGGCACCCCAGTCTCGCGCGCCCCGCCCCTGCGCGTCGTCGTCCACAGCGTCAAGAAGGAGCCCCTCCCGCCCATCGATCTCACCCGGCCCATGACTCCCCCCAGCCCGACCGACGACCCGCTGCTCCTCCTCCCCTCCTCCTCCAGCCCCATCAAGCGCAACCGCACTCGTGTGCCACAGACCTCGAGCGATGCGGACTACGCCCCGTTCGACTGGACCGCGGGCTTGCCCCAAGGTGCGCCACAACTAACTTTCATTTCGCTAATCTAACTCTACCGCGTATAGACGACGACGCGAGCTCCGACTCGATGGACCTCGACGTGCCCGCGTCCTTCGATGGCCCGCTCCCCCCTGCGTCCTTGGCCCTGCCTTCCCTCTCTCTTCCTTCTGCCGACCCCAATGTGGCGTACGACAACGACTACAATGCCCCCACTGGCTGGGACTCCGACTCGGACGACGAGGGCGCGCTGCCTGCCCTCCCCACATCTACCGCCCCCTCCACCTCGCGCGCCCGCCCCACGCTCTCCTTCACCAGCACCACCCCCACACGCGCGGGCTTCGGCACAGCCGCGGTGTTGTCGTTTACGCCGCGCGCGCGCACGCCTGCTGGTGTCCGTGCTGCCAGCGCGACGCCTACAACGCAAGCGCGCGCTGCCACCGCGCCGCCCCCCAGCGCCACCCCCTCCGCACGCGCGGCGCGTGCGCCGACTCCCGCACGTCCCGCAACGCCCCCAGCCCAATCCCAAGCCGAAGATGGAGACAAAGACTCTGAATTCCTCACCGCGACAAAGCGCGACCCGCCGACGCCACGCACGGCTGCGCGCGCGGCGCAGTGGGGCGTCTGGGGGAGCCCGTGGCCCGGGAGGTGGGTGCCGTGTTCTCTTCGCGTTCGATACTTTGCGCGGTTTCCCTCTCCTCGCGTTTTCTCGTCATGTTTTGTCGTCGAGCTCAACTGACTTTGTTTTTTTTCTCGCAGAGGCCCGCTCGACAGCGACGGCGAAGGCAGCTTCCGCATGGACGGGCGGAGTCTACGTGCTATCGGTGGTGCGCCGCTTTCGGTGCCGACGCAGCTCGACGGCAACGACGCTGAGAACGGAGTGCACGCCAATGGAGAGGCAGAAGGGGGAGAGGAAGCACAAGACGAGGACGAGGAAGACAGCGCGGACGAGGGTGTCTCCTTCCTGCGTGCGTTGCGGGAGGAGGACGCACAGAGGCGGGCGGCGAGGAGGTCCGGGTCCGGGTCGACTGAGCCTGCGAGACCGCAGCAGCAGCGGATGGGCCAAGACGACGGCGAAGAGGAACAAGAACAACAACAGGACGAAGAAGCAGCGGAGGAAGAGGAAGTGCGCGCGATGAGCGTCGACCCTGAGGAGGACGATGCCGCCACCGACACCGTGCGCGTGGCTGGCGCGTTCGACTTTGGCGTCCCAGTTGCATCTCACCCGCAGACTCCCGCCCGCGCCTCGTTTGCGATACCAGTACCAGTACCAGTGCCCGGACAACGGCCACAGACGCCCACCAGCGCGCACGCCGCACACGCACACGCACAGACCCCGCCCGCGCGGCGCGCGCCGCATGTGCCTGTGCGCTCGGAGCGCATGGTGGGGGGCGTAAGGGAGCGGGAGGTGCGCGCGCCGCCTGCGGCTGTTGCTGTTGCTGTCCGCGAAGAAGGGCACGAGGGCGAGGACGTGCGCATGCCGCCTGCCGGGGACGCGGCGTCTTCGCACCAGCAAGAGCAACAGCACGAGCACGCGCACGCGCACCCGAACACCGACGCCGATACGTCCGCGGACTCCAACGACCAAGACGACGACGAGACCGCCCACGCGCTCACCGCCCTCGGCACGCGCGTCGCGGTCCCGCACACGCCGACGCGCGGCGGGGCGCCGCGGCAGTCTGTGGGCAAGGGGCGCGCGAGCTTCGTCCCCGCGGACCTGGACGACGAGGCGGTGTTCGGCGGGCCGCAGGCGCACTCCCACCGCGCCCAAGACGAGGACGTCGAGCTCCCGGACCACAACGAGCCCAGCGTCATCGGGGACGTGAGCGCGGACTCGAGTGCGAGTGCGAGTGCGGATGGCGGCGACGACGAGGAGGAGGAACGGGAGGCGGCGCTGCTGGGGCTGGTGAAGATTACGAGTGCGGACCCGCGCGCGGCGGCGAGGGCTGCGGCGATTTTGAAGCAGGTGGGCGCGCCATCTCCTCTTTTTTTTTGCCTCTGAATTTTGCTGATTTTATTTTTCTTTCTGGCAGCACGATTACGACTGCTTTACGCGTCTGCGGCTGAATGGGCAAGGACGCGAAGAGGCGCCACTCGTACGCGGGCGTGAGCAAGGCGTCGGCGGCCGTCGCGTCCCCCGCGAGGAGCAAGACTCCGGGGAGGATGCAGGATATCGCGGTGTTAAGGGCTGCGTATGAGCGGTCCAGCTCCAGTTCTAAGGGCAAGGCGAAGGCGACGGAATCGAAGGCCGAGAAAGAGAAGGAACGGGAGCACACCCCCGCGCGCGTGGTGGGCGAGCGGGTGTACTTCCCCGGGAGCCCGGCGCCGGTGACGACTGCGCAGCTGCTGGAGGAAGCCGAAAGGGAGGTGGTAAGCGCGGGGGTCGTGTCGCCGAGTCGGAGCGCGAAGGGCGGGGAGTCGATCTCGTTTTCGGCGTCGGCGAGGCGGACGTCTGCGCGCGGGGTGCCGTTGCCCGACTCGGACGACGAAGGCGACGCACCTGCGCAGGGGGAGGAGGCGAGGGAGTGGGCCAAGGCGGACTGGAAGGCGCTCGACGCGTGTTTCACGGACGAGCGGATCGCGGTCGCTGCACGGCTGGGGATGGTGCTCAATCTTTCGCCGGCGCCGGCGCCGCGCACACCTGTGCGGCTCGCCTCGACCAGCGCCAGTAGCGACGGCGGGCCCGCGGTCATGATGGCCTCTGCGGACGCGGTGGACCTGGGTGCGGTCGTGCGCCGGTTCGTCACGCACATGGGTGGGGAGCGGGTTGTCGGGAAGTGGGGAGATGCGTGGGATGTGTGAGTTTTCCTTTCTTCCGCATCTTCGAGATGGGTTTGCTGACGATATTCCGTGAATTACAGGGAGAGTCTGACGCAGCGTGCGCGGGCCCTGCAGAACAAGCAGCGCGCGGGGCACGTTGCGCCGCCCACGCCCTCCGCCGCCTCGCTGGACGACAACAGCGTTTTCACGAGTGAGCGCCGCCGCGCGTCGATGGTCGTGCCGGACTTTACGCCGCTGGGCAAACGCGCGATGCCGCCGCGCGCCAGCGGGGGACGTGCGATGCCTGCTCTCGTCAACAGCAGCGGGCTCGCCAATAGCATTGGCGCCGGCAGCCCAAGCGCAAGTCGGGCGAGGCTGCCGCCGCCCGTTCGTGTTGGGGCGCCGTTCAGCAACCTCCCGCCTACACCGGAGCCTGCAAGGCGGCGGCGCGTGCCGGGGTCGTTGTTTGCGCCGAGATATTCGCATTTGTTGGAGGAGGCGGGTGGCAGTTAGTGCTGGGCCGGCACCTATGGCTAGCAGGGAGGAGGAGGAGGAGGAAGGGCATGAAAGTGGAGAGGGATGCTGAAGTGAGCTTTGCGGACGGACAAGACGCCTCTGTAGAGGAGCAGCAAGAGGAACAGCAAGAAGATTCCAGCTTCGACTCGGCTGACGGCGAAGACGCAGAAATGGCAACCGGCGACCCCGCTCCGCGAGCGTGAGGCCCATCTGCAGCACCCCGCAACGACCTCCCACCCGCCCGCGCCCGCCACGATCGGCAAGCGCGTCAAGGGCTTCCTCTTCTCGTACCTGCCCACCCTCTCCAAGACCGCCCCGCCTCCGACGCGCCGCGCCCCGCTTCACGCAGGCCCTCGCCTCCCGCTCCCGCCCCTCGAGCTCCTGGAGAAGCCGCGCGGGCCGGTGACGACGCCCCGCGCGCCCGCCGCTCCCCAAGACGCGTGCACCGAAGGAGCTCGTGAGCCTGCAGCCCGCACCGCCGCCTAAGCCCAAGAGCCTCCTCCCGCGGCGCGCGCCGCCGAAGCGGATGGTAGAGCTGCAGCATGTGGAGCTGCCCGTCGAGGAGCAGCCGCGGGTGCCGTTTACGCGCCCCAGAA